ATTATTTTCGTAATTAATTATGTTCAGTCGAGATTACCGAAAATTATTTTCGACGTACCATTTACGTTCGGAATAATTTTGGTAAATAAGCATTATGTTTAATTAAATAATTAAATATAGTTTAAAGGATTTATTAGCAATGATCATGGATTAGGCATCAAAGCCGTCAAATGCTTCCAATTAGTTAAGAAAGCCGTACGCTATATGTACATATGTTCCAAATTGTACCCAATTTTCCTAAGTCTTAAGGAAATATTTTCCTTCCACACATTTAACTACCACACGTGTCATTAGGAGGATTAATTTATGAAGATTAGTCATCCATCTTGAGGTCATTAGTTGGCAAGTGTAAGGCTAATATAAGGCCACATATCACCTACATCATCATACCTCTCTCGGCTTTAGTATTAATAGGGGTGTTTGGAAGAAATTTTCCCCATATTTCCATAGTATATGTACCAGACTCTTAACCGCAGCTTGGTCCCTAAATTCAGTACCATACAACTTAGCATATTACCATAAATTTTCTACACTCAGCACCGCACGGCGAGTAGCATCGCACACGGGCGCACGCGAGGACTAACGGAGGTTGCGATCGGTTTGCAAATTCCGACGAGCAGCTAAGAAGGTATAGTTGTCCTCATCTTATAATCATGTTAGTAAGACCATAATAGGGTTAAGTGTTCGAGTTACATTCAGAAATTGTGAGGAAATTCATGCTATGTTCGGTTAGGTCATATTTAAGACAAGACCCCATTACGTCCATTTCACTCCGACAAGTCCCGAACATTTATTGTTTCGTCAGCCATCATTATGTGTATCATGTTCAGTCAAGGGGGATTTGTTGAGTAAAACAGAGGTTCGGTCGAGAAATTGGCTTAAAGCCAAGGACCGCACGTGGTGTGCGTGTCACGGCCGCACCGTGTTATCTTTGGCTATGGTCAAGTTTGTTCGAACAATTAATGTCTAAATGATCAAGTTAGGTCATGTTATGTTCAGTTAGCTTATGTTGTTCGAGAAGTTTTCATGTTTGACGAGGAAGTGGCCATGAGCCGTGAGCCTCGCACATAGCGAGCGCACCGCGACCATGTATTTGGTCTATCGAACAAATTCAACATTTTCATGAAAATTCAGTATATTGTTCATGTTGAGTCAGGTGATGTTGTTTTATGTTAAGGTTGTCGGGAACTAGTGTCGAACGACCGGCAAGGGTCGGCCGCGGGCCGTGTTTTCCGCACATAGCGGAAGCGCAGCAGCAGTGCCTGCGCCCGCGCACATAGCGCGGGGCAGTGCTCTGGCCGATGCTGCGCTGCGTACGACGCACGCATGCATCTCGCCACTCAGCTACGCATCCAGTGCACGTCGCACGCACACTAGC